AATGTAAAGTTCAATGAAAAAGTAAAGTCTACTCATAATTATGGGAAAATTCAACAATAGTCCTTTCATTCCCCTGAGCGAAATAGGGTGAACACACCCCAACATCTTTCTTTTTTTTTGTGTTTTGGTGAATCATTGTAACGCATGTTGTCCTGCTCTAAGTAGGTTATGTCAAGAGGCGGATAAAAGCTGGCCAAGAATTCATCGGGGCCACGGTAAGGTGAGCCTAAGACTAATTTGCTCAAATCTACAATCACAGCTCTAAAGCAATCCTATTTCTGCTTACAGTGAGGCCAATTTGCGAATACCTTCTGCTTTCCCTATCAAACGGAATGAGAGGTACTCCAACATCAATTCATGCTAAAGCTTGTCTTGCTCTCTGACTCTTTGCCAATAGCGTCCTCGCCTATTGGTTCTCATCCTATCACAAGATCCAACTATCCGACAACAATCAGAAACTGACCTTCACATCCTTCAAGGTATTTGGTGGGAAGAATTCTTGGCTGGATTGATTCATCCCGTGTCCATCATTTTCGGATATACAGCTGTGCTTAAGTCCTCTGCATATCCATCTTACTCGGGTTGATGACCTATCTGGCCGGCAGCGCTTAGCTCACTCTACCTCAGCTCCACTTCGCGTTTCTCCAGCAGCTTCTTGCATCAACGGTTGTGATTGGAAGGTCCAGACACTCAGCTCTTTGAGGGCTAGAAAGCGCCCCGATTACACCATTGTAACCTCCACTGGACCAGCTCTTCTTCGAGGTCACCGCGCACCTCTTCATATGCCACGCCATTTTGCACCTCGCATTCCTCACGTGGAAAAGACCATGTTTACGTAGCTTTAAAACTCTAAAAATATCCTCCAACAACACTGCCCTTAGAACAGTCTATCTATGGCTGGGACTCTACTCTCTCAACAGCAGCGGTTTCGCAATTCTAGCCATTCTATCCTACCTGTCTTTCGTTAACCTCTATACATGAAAACGGCATCCATATTAATACTATTAATACACTACTATATGTGCACCTTTTAAATCTATACGATCCCTACTCTGTATTTCTTCATCTCATCCCTTATCTATCGGCATCAGGTCAGATATTCCGTAACACACTTCTTTGATAGCAAATCATTCCACTGTGAATTGATGATAAGGTTTTAATTTTTTTAATTAGTTTAATTTTGACATACCACAAAGAGTTAATTTCCAACCAGGCTGGAGTATGGTTTAGACTACAGCTACATTATCATCCACAATATAATTCAAACCGTGAATGTGCTGGCTAAGGTAAAAGCATTTCATGCTTTTCACACAAGCAGGAGCAAACGTACGAGTGCACATTAATAAGATAATTCTCTATTAAAGATATGAATTGAGATGTGGTTTATGTACATTGAAATTCAGGATTGTTATATAGAGAAATAGCGCTAGGATCGTAAAAGTAACTTGTACCCATAGCGAATGTGTTGTTTCAATTTTGCTGGAGGTGCTGGTGAGACAAGGAGACGAGGTCGAAGGCATATACAAGTCTGGATGCGAACGAGCTTTTATAATGCATTTAAAAGTAAAATTCAATGTAAAAATCCAGATATGAAGATCAAGATGTTGTGGCCTCTGGTATGGCAGCAGTCTCCTTTCGATTTATAGAAGTGGGTTGACCTCGTTGTCGCAACATGGTCTTGTTGTCAAAGCGACTAGATAGAACGCATGTAGTCCGAAGTCCTCCGCCAAAGTAGTTGTCATGATTTCCAGCATCAGACATTGAACTTGGTACATTCTTAAACGTTTCGCCGGCATCGTAGTCGGCATCATCAGCGAGTTCTGTCATTCTCCGCACCAAGCTACGAGCTCGTGAAAGAGACAAATGAAGTCAATCCCTCGACAAAAGTTCTGCCGAAAACGATTACACTTTCACTCCTCTTCCTTTTCTGGTCTATCTATCTACACTTTACCCTCTTATCCCACTGTCGCCATAACTGGAGGACAAGGGATCGCGATGAAGAATCTAAGGAGGACAGGGGTTTTCAGCAATCAAGCGAAGATGTTGTCAGTGCGTGATGTCCGTTTCGAATAAACCAGTACAACTTTGGGGCCCTGGCAGTCAGGGCGCTGGGCAGATGGATGAGCAAACCGTCATAGAAATTAAGAGTTCAGGCTAAAATGTACCATAAATCCACTTGAAATGCCGCATGCGACCAGAGATAGGCGTTCACAGTTTGCTCAGATAACATGTCTTTAACCAAGGTAGAGGACTCGTGAAGGGAAGGCCTGATATCTGCAAGCATGGCAATCAGAGCTTAGGCGCTCTGCTTAGTGAAGTGGCAGTTTACGTGCTTCTAGGGCCTTGAGGAATAGCGTCTGGAGTGAAATGCACACTGAGACTGGAACCGAGTGAAATAGGTCAAACAGGAAGATAAGGAACGTATCCACGAGATAATGAAGGGATCCGGATTGGAATCCCGAGTCGGATAAACCCATAGAAAGCGAGGGGTTGGGGTGGAGAACAAGTGTGATGAGGCCACACTAGGTTTGCCACAAAAGGGCACACATTTTGACGATTGGAATTTAAACAAGTGAGAAGTTGTGATAGGGCGGCAGTGGGATAAAAGTGTAAAGAGTAGATAGATAGACAATGACAGAAATGGGAGTGACAGTGTAACCGTTTTCGGCAGAACGTTTGTCGAGGAATCGACTTCACTTGTCTTTTAACGAGTTCGTAGCTTGGTGCGGATAATGGCAAAACTCACTAATGAGGCCGGCGAAACGTGGACTTAGTCCACTATCTGATGCTGGCAATCATGACAACCACTATGGCGGAGGACTTCGAACTAGGTGCGTTCTACTAAGTCGCCCTGACAACAAGA